ACACATACATACAAACACACACATATATACATATGCCTATATCTAAATGTAAGCCTGTATATATGGGAAACAGTATCTAAGGGTCCCCAGCAAGGGAAACCCCACAAGCGCTCCAAGCAAGAAATATTCAGGATCCCTGGTCCCCAACATGGGAAACCAGCTATACAGGTCCTGGATGGATCCTTTCCTGTCAAAAATGTCCCGCTGTTTGAAATGGCACTTGAGGCTTCGCTCCAATGTAACGATCCAAAAGCAATTGCAAGAGGGGAAAAAAAAAATTCCCGTTTAAGGACTAGCCTGCTTATCCAACGCCAGCAGGCTAAGAGAGAAATAATCCCAGGAAAGTGGAGTGGGAAAGTACTTGCCTCGGTCCACAAGAAGGGAAACCAGCGGGGAATGGCGCCTGTAATATTTAGGCGCGAACTTGAAGCCAGCCATTTAAAATGGCAGGAAGCAGAATCTTCGATGTAAATGCCTGAGCAGTTTAATGAGCTGCTGCTGCTGACTCTCTAAAATGTTAGACAAATGATTCTGCAAGGAGAAGTGAGCCGCGGCTGGGAGCATTCCGGCAAGATCGCAAAGATAAGACGATTGGGGAGTTAGATGGGCTAATTGCCTGAAGTAGCTGTCTCAGGCTGCCTGCGAAGTGGCAGGCTCCACCAGTCACAAAGGGCTGCTCTCAACTGATCGGGGGGATAACCTAATAGAGCCACAAGCCTTGAAATCGCCAGATTAATAGGGGAAAAATTTGCAAGCCGAATTAACCCAAGAGCAAACCTGAATCTTGACTACCTGAATCAGAAACTGTTCCAGTCAGGGAGTGCACAATCTCTTACCACGAAGGCTGAGCTAAAACTGGGGGACACTGGGGAGATGTCCCGTGGAGGAGGAACGTCCCGGAGTTTTAAGCCCAGCCTTTCCAGAAGAGACTGAAGCATGCCCCACTTCTGGATGCTCTGAACAGCTCATGGGAGAAAAGAAAGATTACACTGCTGTTAATGGTTAAGTGTCTGAGGATTTACCACCACTGACAATGCTACTATCCTTCAAAGCGACCTTATATAGACCATTATACAGAGTGACCTGAGTCTAGGAAGGGTTAGAGATGGCGGGGGGGTAGTGAGGACCACTAAGTATTAGGAAAGAACATAAAGAAATGTTCTGTGCATTTTGGGTTGGATGAATGCTTATTTCAATTAGGCAATATAATGGGTTAGTTTCTTTGCCTTAGATACAAAAATCGCAAGCAAAAAATGCTCAGCAATATTAGATCATGACTGAACCTGGCTACTGCCTACCCGAAGAGTTAAAAGAGCAGAAATTTATACTATGTCCAGTCTGCTCATTGTACAAATATTTTAGTTGCCATTCTTCTGATATTGCCAGAGGTCGGTTAAATTAATTGTTTTTTTCATGTATACCTCAATTAGGTAGGACATTTTTTTAGAGAATTACATTTCATTTCAGCTGTTTTTAACACCAAAATCTACAATTAGGAAATTTATCATGTATTTTTATGCTGCGCAGGATAGCACAGAAATTAAATAGTTTACGATAGTTAGCTAAAGTTACTTGATAACTGGGCATCAACCACTACAAGCTATCTAGCTTTGGAACTGAGGCAATGCCCAGCTCCCACTGTGTATTAATACAGAAGATGCTTTAATCATTATTCTGGCTTTGCATATCCATTCATTTTTATTTTACCTTAGATTTCCCAAGTTGCCATTCAGTTTTTGTGCTATCATATAGATAGAGGAGGGCAGCACACTTTCCTTTTAAATCCTCAGGGAGAGTCAAATTCCTCATCAGGACTTCATATCTATAGAAACAAACCAATCACATTATTTTTAATTGCTTTACTTCATTTTCCTTTCTTCATCTGCTCTTAAACAAAAACAGATTGCTACCTTTTGTGAAAATCCTGAAATGGCCTCCGCACAGGAAAACCTGCTCTTCGTATCCGTACTGTTTCGAGCATACCGGAGTAGCACAACTGGTTCAAAACCACATTCTGATCAAACTGGTCAGGCATCTAAAATGTAACATAATCAGGTGTATTTCATTAGCTATAAAATTTGTGAATCTGTAAACAAGAAATTCAGGGTATGTCAAAGAGTGATACTAAACATATGACATGCATTAGTGCAGCTGCATTATTTTTAAGTATTAATTTCAATTAATGGAGTCATTCAGAGGGCAAAACAACACCCTCAACTCTTCTCAGGCTTTTTCCGGTGGATTGGGAGAACTTTCTGAAGCCAGTGCAACAGGGGTTAATAAAGAGGAGATACCAAAGAGACGTTTGGTGGTACAAATACCAATCTGCTCAGGTAACCTTAAGCCATTTCTACTTAAGATTGATTATCTTTTTATAATTTATTCTGGGCTACAAATGCCCAAATTCATTCTCACACTCTCTCTCACTTCTTTTGTATCTCTCTGTGTACATATTCTATACGAAGAACTTGTATGTATAAAACTGATTTTGTTCAGAAATAATGAAGGAGTTACAACAAAACTTGTATGAGAAGTAACAACCTTGAAATCTTTAAAAATGAGCATGAGGAAACAAGAATACAGGTTACAGCGGCAGTTGGAGCCAGGACTACCATTGCTAGGAAAAGTGATCATAAGGTATAAAGTTATGTGATCCCATTGCTTAGCACAGGCAAGGATTGGCTTGCCTGAGGATCCCGGTTGCCATCATAAAAACCAGACTATGGAGATCATTAAGCGAAAAGGGGTGGAACTCCCAATTAAGGAGCATGAAATGGTGGGGTTTTCTTCAGACGTGTATTATGGAATGCAGGTGAGATCGTGGGGGTTGCAGGAGGGTGGACAGAGGCCTCAGACAGGCTGGAAGAAACTGGGGTGGGGGGGAGAGGTGAGGCCATGAGAGGGTCAGTAAGGGGTGCAGGTGAGCTGGTGAGAGCTTTAGGTGGGTGAGATCTGAAGAAAAAGTGGTAGGAACAATATACAATAAACTTGCAATATTTCCTGTTTGCTTCCCTTTGATTTTGCTTGTGGGAAACTGACAAAGGAAGGTTGCAAATGATGATTGTGCACCACAGCTTGCAACAATATCATAATTGTAAGACAAGTATCTGAAATGTGACCACATGTCAATAGGGGATGCTGTAACAGTTGGAAATCATGTATCAGTTGAACATCTTTTTTTTCAATGCAACCGTAATAATTGTTGAACGAATGGATGTAAAGCTATTTGTATTATACTTAAATATTAAAGACTACTTGTATTACTCTTGACGTACAAAAAGGAGAGGGTTTTCTTCCTTGCTCATAATACTGAACTGGGGATGATCAACCAAGGAAATAAAGGGAAATTTAGAACATAAAACACATCATATAGTTAAATTGGGAATCTGCAGTTTGATATTGGGGTGGCCACTATCTTGAGCTGCTTTAAAACAAAAGTAGTCAACTCATGCCCCATTGGATCATCATTTCAGAGATATTTCCTGACTTAAATAGAGAAAAAGAATGATTAAGAGCAAAGAAGGAATGATATAGGAACACCTTGTGATTTCCTGCACCTTGACTGACCACCTTTCAGCAACTGATGGCAGGATTGGTCTGCCTGATTTCCAGTGGCCAATGGTGAGAACAGTCTATCAGATCTCTGGAGGGCTAGGTTGGAAGCAGTCTACTGATTTCCAGCAGGCAAAGAAAAGCTAGGGAAGGACCAATTTACTGAACCTCTGAGCAGCAATGCAGTAGGACTGAAATGGCCATAACTGCTAAATTTCAAACTCGTAAGAGTCATGGATTTTTGATGCATTCTTTAAGTTAGACCATTTGAGGTATCTTGGTTCAAAAATTGCTGCCCTATGATGTACCATTTTGCACACTTGGAAAGTTATAAATAAACAGTCATGAGAATTTCAGTAGTATAGATACATTTATCCATCTTTATGAAGAACACAAATTATATTATCAGAATGCCTAACTACAGTATATCAGTTGTTAGAGAACATGAATAAGGTGACAACGTATATAATGTTCTATTCATGGAATCCCCATAATATTCTGCAGCAACAAAATGCTGACTTAAATAATTTGCTATAGCTTTTTAATATGTGTGTGTGTGTGTGTGTGTGTGTGTGTGTGTGTGTAAGAGAGAGAGAGAGAGAGAAAATTGCAGACTAAGATCTACCTTTTCAGTCTTTTTTCTGTCTAATCAAGTCATCCTACTCAATCCAATGACCAATCCCAACTCACTAGCCTTGATTGCTATTTAGCAATTCCAAAAGCTTGACAGTAATGACAGTGTAAAACGGAGCCTTGGCAAAGATACAATTTCATAGCATCTCTAAGGAATAATAAAATGCCTTAATCTGCATTCCCAAGAGGTAATCAAATCCTATTTGCAAATCAGATGCCACTGGAACAAATATGGGCATAATTCCTTTAAGACTTAATAAGAATTGTGTCATCCATTGAGAAATACTCTCCATTTTTTCCTATTTTTGTGCTATGTGTTTTACATATCTTTGCCAATTTTTCCAAGAGAAATTTGTATCAAGAATTGTAAAACAAAGTAACTAGTTACCATAAACATTAGTAATGATTTTGTAAGGATTAAAGAAAAAGTATTTGGTGTTTTACTTTTACTAGTACTAATAAAAAACCCATTAACACTATATCCTAAAAATCATGAATTCGTTATTTACAATAAACACCAAAGAAGTTGATGCTATCCTTGTGAAAATTGTTTTTCAATTTGTTGAAAATATTTTGTAGACATGGGCAGAAATTCATAAAATAGAATTGAAATACTTCAAATGCTATTCCACTATTACACTTGAAGAAAAAAAAAGGCTAAAATTTGTATGATCAGAGTACAATACTGTCTTCATTCCCAAATTTAAGTAAAAGTCGCAATGTACAAGTGATGATGAGCACTAATATCAGCAACTTTTCACAGCACTTTTAAAGCATCTTGATCAGGCAAGATTTTTAAACAGGCAAAAACCTAAGTTCATTAAGATATTTCTTATCACTCCTTTATGAAATAGATTCTATTTTTATTTTATATATCATGTCCAAGTAACACATTTGGAATACCCATGAAGTGCATAAAATGTTTTGTAGTACCATGAAATACATATAGTTATGTTAGGAAACAAAAAAATTCAAGTACTTTTATAAGTTTTTTTTTAAATAATGTAATACTATTTTCCCTTTTCTTTCCCCTAAAATAATTTTAACAGTCCACTAATTTGGGGAGTCTGGATTGTATTTCACTCCATTAGTTAAGATAAAGAATAAAAAAAGGAAGAAATTTGTACTTAGTATTATTATTATTAGTAGACAGAAGTATATGCTAATACTTTATATTCAGGCAACAAAATATTAAATTTCTGCATGGAAACAAAGCAGGATAAATATCAAAATCTCATCTACAATACAAAAGATCTTAAAATAGAGTTAGCACCGAACATAGTTTTTCTCTGCTGCAAGTTTGCACCCTGTGCAAATACTTTTCTATGCCCAGTTTCTCAAAACATAAGAAACAACTGAAATCTTGCAACAACGAATAAATAAGTTATTACTCACCAACTCATAGGGGTTGTGGGTGCCCTGCAGATTCATATTTCTCAGAGGCAAAATTCATATGGAAAGTAACTCCCACCCTGACCTTTTCCCTGCACTGCTAAAGACACTGAACAATAATGAACACTATTCCTAGTGCTTTAAAAAGTGCTCAGTTGCCATGACAACCCCTCCCTTTCTAAGGATAATTAGTATGGTGTGTCTGTCAGATCTGATTGGGAGGGCTGAACAGAAAAATATGCAAATGAGTGACACTAGGGCAAGTCACTCCTTTGCTGCGCGCTGCAGTAAGAGAGCTCTGTGCATCTCACAAAACAGGACTGAACCCTGGAACTATTTCGTTAAAAGCAATGTCTGTAGCACAAGAGCTAAACTGATACACACACAACTAAAAATTAAGTTGGAAATCAAAAGGCAATTTGTATTAGAAGGGTTGCAGGCTCCAATTTATCTCACTGGAACAAAACTATGCCCTTGAGTTTGAGACAAAACAAGGTCAATACAAATGAAACTTACCTTGCAGCATTTCTCTTAGTAACCCATGCTATTGCTTCAGATTTATTCTCTGCTGCTTAGTGCTTACAACTCCTGAGAATAAATGCAACAGTTGTAGTGTGGTACAAAGTTGCAGTTCAATGTGCCATCTTTTAGAAAAGACTCAGAAGGAAGATTTCATCCACAGGATTTGGATTTCCTTCAAGTCAGACTTGATAGCAACTTTGGTATGTGTGTGGGTGTGAATGTTTACCCTTCTTTATGGCATAATGATTCAGTTCAGTTGCCTGAATAATTTGAAGCCCTTCGCTTACACAGCTTTTTCTCCATTATGCTTTTACTTAGTATATGTGTGTTCATTATTGTGTACATTGAAATAAATGAATCTGGCTTGCATCAAAATAAGGACTTACGTGATCTCTGGCACTATGTATTGGATAGTAGTTTCAAAAAGTATGCATCTCTAATCTAGCTCCATTGCTTTTTGCAGCCTCATTTCCCCATCCTAATTTGTGTTGCTTTTACATGGTTCCTGAACCAATGCCAAGCCCAATAATCTGTGCAGAATTTTGGCAAGAATTTGTACTATAGCAGTCCATTAGCTGGGGGAGTGATTGACAAAGGGGAGTAGTCGAAAGATAGAGGGTCAGCCCAATCTGTTGGTGACATATGATTTCATAGATCATTCCTGAAAAAGAATGGTGCACTAAACAGAAAAGAGATGTTTCGCCATATTCACTTTTGATTTCCCAAACCATAGTTTAGAGATCAATAGAAGCAGCCTGGAGTTTCTTTAATATTCATGGTTGTCCAGAGTCACTAAAAAATCAGATTATGAATTTTATTATTCATTATCATCAGACTCCCTGAAAAATTCTATGTCCTGAATTGCAGCTTCAGTGACATTTTGCACATATAAGTATCATCTGATTTTGTATAGTTTAATAACTTCCACAATAACAG